TTCGTCGGGAGTAGACTGTTTCAAATCGAGCAGCAAATATCCGTGCGGTCGCGAAGTAGCGTTGTGGTACGCCTTTTTCAGAAACTTCGAATCATCCGGATAAACTTGACGCGCCAAGTGGCGAATTTGAGCGCGATCGCGAGGATTTTTGAATACCACGATATAATTGCAGTTGAGAGAAATATCCCGCTATCCGCGGCCTTGATGAAAGAGATTTTGGGAAATCAGTATAACGCTGAGGTTCTTGTGATGACTACCTTTTGTGAACAAATCCACAATCACGTCGCACGAGGACGATTCCCTCATAAGGTCGTCGATTATCACTAATTTCGCGCGAAGCGGATCGTGCGAGTAATCATCGGGGCGGGGTAAACCTTCGCGAAACTCGATTATATTTCCCCCCGCGCGCTTTCCGATGTCGCACGATGCTGCCCCGGACTTTTCGCGACGGTACAACAAATCCACTTCGTGCTGCAGTTGACGATAGGCCTCCTGCACTCCGCGTAATAAAACAAAATTCTTTCGAAATCGACGTCGGACATGCCGGACAAATGGCGAAGAAAAGTCTTCACTAAGATCGCTTTACCGCATCCCGTCAGATCACAAACGATCGACGTCCAAGGATGCCTTCAGCGTACGTCTATGTCGCGCGAACAAACAGTCTCCGCGCGCGACTCTGAGAATGAAAAAAGCCCGGCTCGCGAGCGCGGATTTATATCTCGAATCGCGCGACGGTGGGCTAGCAAACCCTCGCGGGGGGCCCACGCGGCGAACGCGGCGCTCGCGTCAGCGTACATCCGCGGGGACGCGCGCGCGCGCGCACGCCTCAGCGAGTTCTTTCCCACGGCGCGGCGCGGTTCGCGCCGCCGTGAGCGAACTTCCGCACGCGACGCGCAAAAGCTTATTTAGCGCTGGGGGGAAAGATAGTTCGTATCCCCTCCCAGCGCTAGAACCGCGATTGTTGAGCTTATCGCGCTGGAACAAGCGATATTTCTCGGTTCGCACTCAGCCGGGACATTTTGTCCTCTTGTTTGAAAGTTACTTCTATTCGTAGCTTAAGCATCGCGCAAGAAATTCAAAATTGTTTCGCTCGCTCGCTTAAAGTATAGGGACCTGGGGGGTGGAAGGGATGTATGTGTAAGAACAAAATCGATTTTAAAAAGTTTTTATTTTTTACATTCGTCTTCGTTGCATATAAAAATATATTACCTTATTTTTAAAGTATAGCGCGTAAAATTTACATTTATCTTTTTACAGGAGGAGTAAACAGGTGTGTATATTCCGTATATTTCGCAGTTTTTACACTGTTCTTATCCTAGGAATAATTTTAAAATCTTACGCTGCAAATAAGTAAAACAAAGGTACGATATATATCGCTATTCGCTGGAAACGTAACCGTACGGTGCGGAGTATCCGTTGTCGTTAAAAATACGTTTTAGTAATACAGGTATGCAGGACTTTGTCTCGTCTCTTGTGACGATGTCGTGAAATACGGTACGCCGAATCGCGCTAAATCGCAGTTTTATCACGGTTTTATCCTCGCCCGTCTCTTCCCCCCTCTTTAACTTTTCGTCGGCTAATAACAATGACTTAATGGAACTAAAAGCACGCGAGAATTTTCAAAATTCAGGGTTACTCCCTTCACTTTGCAAATTTCTCGCGCGCGTCCTTTACTCGTGCAAACGACGTAAACGTAAAATTTCGGGCCAGCGAATACGAACGTCTCGATGTACTGGTAGCTACTGGGGCCGTGACTCTCGAGTTCGTCCGTCATGTCGCCCAAAAAATTTCCCGTACGCGGCTTGTACTCGTCGGGATCATTGGTGCTGAAATATATACACGAATCGGTATCGTAATATAACACGCGACGATCTAACTTTTCTAAATACGAACATAGCTTTAATCGGGCTAACGCCGTGGTGTAAGCGGCTATCGCGACGCTGGTCAGCGGAGAAGGTGTGACGGCTTCTCCATGAAACATATATCACTTCGTCGTTTACGGGCAATACATCTGTTATTTCGTGCTCCGAGCTCGTGAGCAGAGCCGTAAAACTCTCCCACGTTCTAACGATCTCGGTACTGGACTGTTGGCCGAATTTACCCCAGAAAGAGTTGAGACAGAGCTTCGCGACCGAGCGCAAGCCTGGATTCGGGGAGATATTCGACCTATTGAGAACAATACCCTCGATTTTCTCGTATTCGCGCAGATACCGTTCCTTGCCGCCTTCGTCATTCGCGCATTCGTTTGGCCATCCGCTGGCCTCTTGTTTCAACTGCAGAAAACAGTTGATATACTCGGCGAACAATCCTCCCCATCGCGTAACCGGATCGTATCGCGTAATTTTGTAGCTCCATATTTCGCTCACACTCGTGACGCGATAACTTTTTTCAATAGCTTTGCGTAACTCGCAAGACACCCACGCGCCTTCAAATTCGCGATCGACAGGGTCATCGTGCGTACACGCGGTCTGAGAAAATGTCTTGCAGCAGCTGCGACAAAGCGCGAATAGCAATTTTCCATTAACACGATAAGGGAGTATTGGATGGAAGAGATCACGCGGCGCGAGCACCCTGCAACGTATGAGGCCTTCTACGGCGTCAAAGTTAAAATCGGGGCCTGCTCCGATCAAGGCGCAACGCTCCTCACCCACGTAAATGTCCGGATGACAGCGGAAAAGCTCCCGTCTTCAGCACATACGGGTACAAAGAACATACGTCAAAAAACATACGTATCTTCTCTGTACCTGTAACTTCATACCGCGTGACGATATTTTACGCCCGCCGTAGGACGCCTCGCGAGGTTCGAAGGGATTGTTTCTCAATAAATTCGCGTATCTCACGATTTTCGCGTAGCTCCCGATCGAAGATACACTCCCACTTTTCCGTAACGACATACCCCCGTTTTTTAAAACGACACGTCATCGCGAGTGTGCGCTCGTAACGTGCTTCGATTGTATCCTCGCAGGACACGGTTGAGAGCGGTCTGTTGCGGTTCACGCGGAAACACTTGGGACATCCGTGCCAAAAACAGCCATGAAATTGCAGCACGTGACGCTGCCGGAGATTCTCCGTCTCATAATATCCGTTGACGAGCGGGCCTTCCAATAAACGCTGTTCCCGACCTCTCGCCGCGTGAATTATCGCGCGTCCGAGCTCACGCTCCTTCAGTAATAACCATTGCAGCGCTTTACGCGATTGCGCGTTGACACCTCTATAACCGCCGAGCGGGATTATCCCAATCTCCTTCTCGCGCAAAAAGTTTTTGCGAAAAACTTTCATACACGTGGAAGCGATAGTTGTGCATTCTTCGAACGGACACACATTTCTACTGTCTAGGAAAATTTATCGATAGGCCAGACACGCTCGTCGAAGGATATCTACGTCGTTCCGGCAATAGCGCACTATCTCCTGTTGAAAATTAAACATCGCGTTTTTGCCCGACATTTCCGCGTGCCACGTTAAAAATTGCTCGCGTTCGTCCGATTTCATTGTATCCGGAGAATAATAATCAATATCGGTAGCGGCCCGACATAATTTTGATTTTTAATCGTATTGAATAAATGCGGAAATACACCTTTGGCGACGGAATCCTTCAGCCCGAAAGCTTTCGGTAACGCCAACAGCTGCATAGGCATGTAATTAACGCTATCGAGAAATTTTGTCCGTCTCACGGTTAGTAATACAATTTTTGTTATGTTTAATATTAATTTCGGTTCGTCCGTCCTACCGCTCTCAACCAGGTAGCGCAGGATGAACTGCGAGTCGAACTCCCCCGCATTGTGCGCAATACAGATGAAGCACGAGAAACGCTTCGTCGTTCTCGTTGCAAAATCGACGAATTGTTTTACCGGATCATCGCGAAATACAAATTCGCGCACCCCGCACCAACGACATCGCGACGCCATATCGTCCTCTCCCAGACAAGATTCGCACGTTTGCTGCGCGACGCAGAGAGTAACTACGTGGGTTTTAACGTTCGCGCACCCTTCGAGCATTTCGTTTTGCCGCGTCTCGAAGTCGTAAAATATAAATGCGGCGCGGCCCTTCCGATTTGTTCTCGCATCGTCCTTATCGTCGTTATCATCGATCTCGACCTACGACCTGCCGGCGTAAGATTTCGGCGCGCGATGACGTTCGAAACAGCTCTCGCCGTAAAACACGCGGTTACACGCGTCGCAGCCGATTAATCGTGCGTCTAGCTTCTCGCATGGCGGCGCGCCGAGGTATCGCGGACACGTATTTGAGCACCGATGACCCGTTTCATGACGGTAACCTTTGTTACAGGGAACGCAATAATATATACTAGCCGAGGCGGCTTTTAAATTTAAAATACGTTTATAATGCCGCGAGCGCTCGTAATACATTATGTTTAGTGTATACTTGGCTATACGAGAACGAGAGGCGAGCGTCGAGTGTCTGTCATACAACGGAGGAACTCCGCGTCCGAAACTCCTGAAATTATAAACGACAATCACGATATTTTCTAGTGAGAGAAGCTGCTGAAAACGCTCGATCTCCGGGATGCCGCATCCTTCCTCAGGTATAACTATACCGGCGTTTCTTGTTAATTCTTCCGCCAAACATCTTTGCAACGCGGAATATGGATGTCTTATATTTTCACATTTTTTATGTAGTTCGCCAGTGCGTACTATACTGTGTTTGCAATAAACGCGAGCCACGACGAGGGAACGCGGGAGACACATATTATCCCGATTACTTATATTTAAAATCGAGCGTTTTACCATATTTTCACGCGTTAATTTATTCGATTTTCCCCCTCGCCCCAAAGGCATCCCGACATTGTACACCGTTATTAAAAAACGTTCCGCAATATCGTGACTCTCGGCGCTTTGCGCTACCGAGCTTACGAGGCCCCAGACATCCTCGTAAGTCAAGTCTCGCACTAGGCGAAACGACAAGCCGGCCGGCCCGCGTGTTAAAGCCATCGAGGTGAAAGACAGCCCTACGTAATCGCTCGCGTTAGCGGAATTAACGGCGTAAGAATAGATTTCGCGGAACGCATTTTCTAAATGATTAGCGATGTCGGTGCCTTTGGCGGGTGGGAGAATCTTTATACGCGCCTTTCGTAATATACGAAAATTCCTAAACCGCCGCGCGTTTTCTCCCCGTATTTCGATATAATTAAATTTAACATTACCGCGCTCGTGAGGAACTTCTTCTTTTTCTTCGTCTCCTTCTTCCTCCATAAGCTCCTCTCGCGCCGGTTCCATTTCGGAGGAGAGAACGCTTCCACGTGTGCCTCCTTGTTGTACTGTAAAAAAGTAATGCGAAATAATTAGAAACGCGAGCTCTGTAAAATATTTAATATTTTAAGTCATCTTATAACTCACGTTCGAATTTACTCTTCCGGCGTTAAATTGAAATACGATAATTCCTGACTAGAATCCCATAACGGGGAATCAGAAAAAATTCGTAATTCCGGGGGAATTTCCGCGTTACACTCCTACAGTATTCTTTCCCATTCCTCTTCTCTTTCCGCGTCGGGAATATGCGGCATACAATTTTCCCCTTCGTCGGAATGGTGGCTAACCGGCAAGTAACTCGGTTCTAGTTTCATTTACAATCATTTGAATTAAATTCGAACGTAAAATAAATTAAACGTAAATAAAAATAAACATTCAGAGAATTCCGCGTGGGTTCGCACGCAAAAGTTCTTACCTGATATTGCCGAAGAAAGCGGCTCTCGATAGCGGCAAACATTTTCAGCATTACCCCCGACATTGTCATCGTCGCGTTCCTCTCCCTCGTTACTTTCCTCGCCCCTGTCTTCGTCGACATTGACATCGTTGTCGGCGTCATTGGCAACGGCGACGTTGCCATCATCGCCGTCGTCGTCGTCGTCACTGTCGGCTCTATCACCGTCGTCGCTGTCGACGCTATCGTTGTCGTCGGTGTTGTCGTCATCCTCGTCGTCGACGTCATTGTCGTCGCCGACGGTGTCGTCCGTGCCGGCAGCGGCGACGGCTACCGTTTCACTAGCACCGGTATCATTTTCGCTGTTTTCTTAAAGTAAAATTACACTTATAACGCATGAATCGATTTTAATATGACACTTTTGTTATTTTATAAATATTTATGCTATCTTACGTATGGGTTCAGCAACGACGACGACGTCTCGTTCGCCTGATTCGGGTAAGGCGGTTCCTCCGCGAGGCGTTTACGACCCCGTGGAAGAAGCTCAAGCGCTTCTCCATCACTGGTACCGTCGGCTACGAAAGTCGGACTTATGAAACGATAAAAACAATAATTGTCTTAAAAATTCGCGTAAATTACAAAGTTTTAGTTTTTGGTATAAAATTGATATGATTTAACTTATCCGTTGTAGGATATCGCGTCGGCGATAATACCCCACACGTTCTCGATGTTCTCCTCAAAATCTCGTCGAAACATCAGAATTTCTCTGATTATATTCATTAATTTCGGATCACCCCAAAATTTCTCGCACTTGCACAAAGCGCTAGCAGCGTGCTGCTACAAGCGCATGTGAAAGAATAAAATAAAATATAATTTTCCGCGTCATCGGCGGAAATACGCGTCAAATATCGAACGCTATCAATATTCGCGTCGGCGTTTGAAGCCGTAACGATGAACTCGTGCACTAATGTACCCACTCGCGACATTGTAACGTGTCTCACGACGGAAAACTGACAGTGGAAAATGCGAAACCGGAGTTTTCTCCTCGCATATATACCCTCAAAATTTTACTCCTCTCTCTCTCTCCTAGGACAAAACGGTTCTCCCAAGAAAGAAGGCCGGATTTTTAAAATTTATTAGGGTTTATCGTCAAAAACACACTCCGTAAATAGTGAGGTAAATAATAAGAGCCGACGGATTAAGCGTTTTCAAGGTTGTTTTTTCTATCGGACGTGCGAGAATGCGTAGCCATTCGTCGACAAAAGAATGATACGATACGTATGTAGCGATGCACTTCTTCTAGGAAAATCGCTCTTTTTGTCAAAAGCGAATTCCGACCGTATCTTTGACGGTATAATAACAAGAATATTGGTTTCAATAATTTTTTACTTGAATTCTATCAACTTTACCAAAAAATATCAAGAAATAAAAATTGCTTATTTTGTTTTCATAGAGCTCTGTGAATTTTTTCAGAATTTTATATTAACTTTTTAGTACTTCATTTTCTTATATTTCCTTGAAGTACTAAAAAGTTAACACAAAATTCTGAAAAAATTCACAGAGCTCTATGAAAACAAAATAAGCAATTTTTATTTCTTGATACC